ACCTCACTGAGGAATGGCTGTTGGTGAGTCAGAAGCACCAAATTATAAATCAGAGACACACAAGATGTTTTAATGGTTAAATTAAACACCATTGTTTGTCTTATTTCCTCAGACTGAGGATTTGACCTCCAAGCCACAAGAAGGCATCAATGAAATCCGGTATGTAAAATAATAACCGTAACAATTCATGAATCACTTCACCAACAGAAATGTGTTTGCAGCCCTTTTCTGTAACCGCAGAGTTAATTGTTGGAAATGAATGGTTTACATGTTGTTTTTACTGACTGTTATACATTCTTTGGCTCAATGTGGATCCATTTCAGATTTATAAATGGAATGGATATAGCAGTGAACGTCTCAACTCCTGCAGCTGACTTTGGACTAATTGAGCCATTTTATTATTCCAACTACTCCAAGATAAAGAGTGGAAAGTAAGGATTTATTTTATCTGAACTAATTCACAGTTTTTATACCGGAATAATTACTTTATGTAAACAACAATACAGTTTATTACACTGATTTTTCTGTTTTAATGACCAGGCCAGTCTTCACCTTATGGAGTGGGTCACAGTCATGTGAATTCAGCAGGGAGTTTGGATTTGGAAGTTCATATACCTTCTTTATCCCCAGCACTCTTGACTTTGGACCAAATGTAAGTTTCACATGTGATTTTCAAGGGGAGACACTACAGGTTTTTCATGCACCGCCTAATTTAAAGATTTTGGGCTATTTTGCTTCCGTAACACCTTTTCTTTCAGACAAGTGGAAACAAAACATCCAAAATATACATTTAGGTGTATATTTCAGTTGAAATATCTGTCCTGGAAATTTGTTCATAAGTGCATATTGAATTAGATAACTCCCTATTTGCATATTTAAACTTAAAATAAAGAAAACTTGTGATGCAAAAAATAATTGTGTCATTGTAAGTAATCAACTATGGAGGTTTCATAGTGACATTTATTAGTTAAAGGTTTTTACCTATTCCCCGTAGTGTCTTATTTGTTGTCTAAAAATATATAGAATCTTGCCATATTCTTAAAATGAGTTTTTTCTCATACTGTGAGCCAGAATTCTCCACTTCAGCACTATAGACAAACACAAAACTTTAAACCTATCTATCATGTCTGAAGGTTTTTGTTCATGTATCATTTATAGTCTGCTTTATACAATATTTTATTCCTAAAAACATGGTGAAAATATATTTTTTAAATGGCTGTTGACAGTATTTTCTAATTTATAGAATTATTAATATTATTATTAATAATAATCATATAAAAATAAATATATAATATAAAATATATATAATGCAAAATTTCCTCTGTGTTGACAAAACAATTTTGAAACTGGCCTCAACCAGTGTTCAGATTTCTGTTATGTTAATTGGTGGCTTAGTGGTAGAGCAGGCACCCACAAGGCTGTTGCCAAAGCAGCCCGGGTTCAACTCCAGCCTGTGGCCCTTTGCTGCATGTCTCTCTCTCTCCCCCTTTCACACTTCATTATCCTATCAATTAAAGGCAATAAATGCCCTAAAAAATATCTTTAAGAAAAAAACAAACAAAAAAAACAGAACCTCATTTGTGTATTTAAACATTTAAAAAAAAAACACTTTTCAATCGCCTTACATACATGTAAGTAATCAGCTGAGAAAGCTTCATGGTGACATTTATTAGTTTTACTCTTTTCACTTGTAGTGTGTCCCCGTAAGGCTTGTAATATTCTATATTTTTCGTAATACCAACAAATCCCCCCAAAAAAACATGAATGATTTGATCCTATTAGAAATTTTCTGTTTAGGTCTGATTAGCTTATTCCTTTGTGCCTCCATTGCTGCCCAGAATCTATTAAAAACACATCAATGAGCCACATGTATTGGTTGACATGTTTTTCCTTAGCCTAAATATTCACTAAAGCATTTTAATCTACAGCTGAAAATGGTCTCCAAAAAAGCACTATTTACTTCTGTTTGAGTAATGTTTGTTAAAAAATATCAACACTAACGTTCCCATCTGTTTTAGAAAAATGTAAAGCTTATATAGTTTAATAAAATCTACATTTTTGTGACCTGTTTTTAAAGATTTACATCTTAAGGAGACACAGAGGGCTTGGGTCTAAGAGCCACAGACATGGTCAGGAGGTTTGGATTAATGCACTATTGATTTGGGCTTTTCCATGAGAAAAGAGATTTTCTTGATCATACAAAGCATATAAGAACAAGCCTTATAGTTATTGTCAGACATATTGTCATTGGTATGCTCTGTCAAAATCTGTCCTGCTGTCTTCTTTTCATTCACACAGGTTGAGAAACTCGACCCTAAACTGAACTATTGTGTTTATTTGTTTTAGTGTCAGGACTCTATTACTGCAGCAGAAGACATCAAACCCAACTCAGTTCACATGGCTCTGCAGATCCCACAGTACTTCTTCATAACTACTGGTGAAGTGATGTTTTCTGTTACTGGTCTGGAGTTCTCCTACTCACAGGTAAAACTGTTACAGCATACATTTTCACACCTGATTTCAGTGTTGCACCATCAAAGTTGTAGGACGCAGCACATGAAAACGTTTGATTCTGTTTGTCTTTGAACTATATAATAGATCTTTATTCTTTGTTTTCAGTTGTACTCATCTTTTGTTCTTCTTTTGTGTCCTCAAGGCGCCTAGTAATATGAAAGCAGTGCTGCAAGCAGGCTGGTTGTTCACTGTTGCTATTGGCAACTTCATCGTACTGATCGTGGCTGAGCTTGCAAAGATTCCCAAGCAGGTAAAAAACCAAATCAAAACTCAAGCCTAAACCTTAGAGACTAAAAATAAAAGCTATTACTGGTGGACATGTAGTGACCGTGTCATGTGATGATGCCTTCTGTCTCTCTTCCTCCTTTAAAGTGGGCAGAGTACGTCCTGTTTGCCTCCCTCTTGGTTGCAGTTTGCGTCATCTTCTCCATCATGGCGTATTTCTACACCTACATCGATCCTACAGAAATCGAGGCCGAGTTCAAGAACAAGGATAATAAGGAGGATGAGGATGAGGATGATAAACGCAAGCTACAGAAGGCAGAGATTGAGATGGTCAAGAAAGGCTCAGTTAGCAGTGACTCGAGTAAAAGTCACAAAGATGACGATGATCCACGCAATCAGACCAAAATGTGAACACCCGAAAAAGCAGATTAGATATCCTTAATGCGTGTGTGTGTGTGTGTGTGTGTGCGCGCGATCGTGTGTATGTTTTTAACATTTTATATTTTAATGCCCAAATGACTGCTGTGAGCAAGCAAGTTTTGTCATTATATTCAGTACAACAGATTCACGTTAGCTGTAGAGTTACAACAACAGATGAACTATTAACATGTTGGATGTAATTGCTTTCATATTTATGTGTAAGTTGTGTTTAAGTAGGAATAAAATAAGTCCTGTTTGTGTTCTTCCACTTGTTATTCTTGTGATCTTTTGCTATAAATCCACTGAGCATGTAACTCTCATGTTCATAGCACTGTACCAACCTGATATAAAATCTTCAGCTTTATAACTTGTTCAATGCAGTAGATGCGTTTCGTTAGTACTGAATGTCCTATTGTGTGTCAAAAAAGGAATGTACTGCAGCCCATCAGGTCAGCAAGGGAGCTGTGAGCTCCCAAACTGACCGAAAATAAGTGGTTTTTATTACTTGAGTTTGAAAGTTCAATACTTCACCTTGGACATTGTTTTCTCAAATTAGGTTTCCATATTTTATTGTATCTTTCAACTGCATGTCCTCATCATCAGATGGAGTATGCTCAATTTGAGGGACGGAGTTTATGTCGACTTTTTGATTCCGATATTGTATCATGGATGTCTTTGTGATGATGCGATAAAAATATCCAGTAATGTATAGCAACAACATTTTAGGTCTGATGCCACTAAATCCCCCTAAATCTTACATACATTGTGACTTGTTGATAACATTATTAATGGCTCTGTTGCATTCAGTGTCAGTGAGCCAGGATGCACAATATCAGGGTCTCCCATAAGTAGAACCCACCATCATAAATGGTATAACAAACACCTGTGCTTTTTTTACTATGACATGTCAAAATTTCTCCTGCGAAAAAGGTCTACAGGACAGTGAACCAGCATGCACAATAACAAGACCCTGAAACTGAAGCAGCTACTGGGGCTTGCCTGGGGCTTGTTGTAACAGTAAATGGGATGTGTTGTAACTTGTGCAGCCTAAGTTAAACTGTGTCTGTGTCAGTGAACATCTTACCCTGCAATGCGCAATGTGGGCAGCGGTTCTAGCCACACGCTGCTACTGCTGCCAAGCAGCCCTGCCCGTTGGAAAGAGTATGGGATATACCGCTACTAGGAATGGGAGGGACTAAATCTTTTAAGATTTAAATAGCACATTATTGCGCGATTATAATGAGCACAGCTTACATTGTGCTTTCAATAAATACTACTGCATTGTTCAAAAATTATTAATTGTGTCTCAAATGATTCTAGGGG